CTACAAGTAGCATCTAACAGTTCCATTGATTCTAATTTGCTTTGTTTATTTTTAAATTTTAAAAAATAAAAAACTACATCACCTTTCAAATATTTTTATATTATTTCAACTGCTCATTACCTTATTTATTTATAATTCAAATTTTTAATTCAAAAATAACAAGAAAATTATGCACCACAAGCAGTATTTGATGACAATGACACATATCCTTGATTCTATTTTTCTTTATTTATTTTTTAATTTTTTTAAAAAATAAATAAAACTACCTTATCCCAAATATCTCCCCACTATTATTTTTAATTTAAAATTAATAAATAAAATTCATGTTTTTGATTGTATAAAAAATGAAATTTAAAATTTTAATTTAAAACTAATAAGTAAAATATTTGTATCCAATTTCTAAAAAATATTTTTTAAAAAAGAAAGTGAAAAATTTGGAAGAGTGAAAAATTGAAATTTGACTTGAGGGTTTTCTAGTAACCCACCTCACATTTTCACCCCTGCTATATTTGCTCTATTTTTCCCACCTCCCTGTAATTCAAATTTAAAGTTAAACTTTAAAACTCCTAAAACTTTTTTTCCATTATAACTTTTATGCTTAGCTTTCTTCTTCTCTTTTTCTAGAGTGTTCACTCACATTCACATAAATTTTTGCAAAATTTGCAAAATTATCATCTCATTAGTGTCTAATCAAAGACTTAAGGAGAGTTGTTTTTGATTGATTCGACAATGACAAAGAATAATCCAAATGAAAGTCCTACAATAAAAGCTTTAGATCTACTTAAACCTTGATAGTTAGCTCTATTCTTCTATTCAGTAATATCTTATCTCTTATTCATTATAACCAAGTCATTTTTATTAAATACATTATAAAATTTTTCTCCTTTGTGTATTTTTATGGTTGAATTATTGTAATTATTGGTAAAGATAAAAGTCTATATAAACCTGGCTCTGATACCACATAGGTGAGTTAGCTTTATGCCATGACAACCCTAAATACCTCAAAACTACTTTTTACATTTGTTGCCTCTCAACGACTATAACCCTTTGGGCCCTATCCACGAGACATCATAAAGATAAGAGCTTGTATTTCATCACTACCTCATATAGTGAAAATTCTTTATAGATTTAGCTGCCTCTTCAAGGCGAGGACTTATAACCATAGTAACTCTAATATCACAAGGGTAGGACTCATGCGTGCCTAGTCTCAAAGATCCTTGTGTCTTAGTATCTCAAGGTATATCGATCCAGGTAAATTCTAACAGTTAATTTTAAAACTCATCGATTATACATATTTAATTAATAATACCTTAATTGTTAATTTATTATTCACAGCAATATTCATATATGCCACAGTTTTTTAAACACTGAAACAATATTTTTGACATAATTTGTCATAATTTCAAAGTTCAATATTTTACCTCTTTTATTTTGGGACAAGATTTGATCTTACAATAGTATTATGTACCCAGTCAAGTAGAAAATCTAACCAGAGAAATCTAATGAGATAGAGGGGACAGGGAATTATCGTTGATATCTAAAAGGTAGAAAATATTTATCCTTTAATTATTATAGTTTTTAACTATCTATTAATAATTACTAATATTGATTTTGAATTTCTCAAAAAAAATAAATATATTGACATAAATACTTTCTCCTCTACGAAAGTAAAAATCTTAAAATATATGGGTGCAACCCAACTTTTCATCAAGCTACTAGTTTGAGTTCATATTTTTTTAACCCCCAAAAATTGTTATATTTATATTTTTGGATTAAATTTAAACTTTTGCTTCTACATTAATGTTAAGATTCATATTTATTTATTTTAAATTTAAGAAAATTTTAATTTCCAATTTATTACATAAATATATAATATAGACCATATCTATTGATCTACTTGTTTAAGTCCATACTTTTTAATCCCAGAAAATTCCAATATTTATATCTTTGAATTAAATTTAAACTTTAAAATATATGCTCATATTTTGAAATTAAGATTTATATTATTTATTTTGAATGTTAGAACATTTTAATTCACACTTTTTAACATAAATTTATAATATAATAATGGCAAACCAACTTTGTTAAGAATTAAACAAATAGATATATGACCTTTGGCCCAAAAAAAAAAATATGACTATGATCTTGAACCCAATCAAAAAATTAAAGAAATGATCAACTTTTTCATTAATAGATCTATTGGGCCAGAGCCCATAAGAACCAGATCAGCTCATTTGCCTGCGCCACTAATGAGGAATGATTGTAAAGGATTTTCCCGTGGGATTCCTCGAGCATTACGAAATGTTGGTGAATGATATTATAATATTATTACTTTCTTAGTGTCTACCCTCTTTAGGTGTATTGAAAAATCTCGTAAAAATGTGCACGCAGCTATCTACGCTCACTCATTTTTTTGAACCAAATAGCAATATAATGTAATTTATTTAGCTGTTAGGCTTCTAGTACATTTTTGAGATTTTGTGAAGGCAACCAAGTCAAAGCGAAAAAGCGTGCAGTCAAAACACATGCTAAAAATTAGGTTGAGTTATTGTGTTTAGACCCGAACAAACCTGAATAGTCATGTCAATTGGACCATTGCTCGGAGAAGAAAGTGATCTAGACCAATCATTTGAATCATTTTGGCAATTGACCCGGGTTAGATAGTTTTCATTTGGCCAGTTCTTGAAAACCTTGAAAAAAACTAGAAAGCTAGGATGATTGGACTGTTTTGACCCTTTTCTTTTTCTTTTTTACTCTTATTTTAATAATAAATTTTTTATTCAAATCGAAAATATCAATTTCAACTTACTTCTAAGTTATTATAGAAAAATCTTGAATGCATAATTTACGTATTGGCATTATATCAATACAAGACCATAGAAAAATAAAAAATCATTTATTTTAAAGAACAAATAAAATAAATAATATATATATATATATATAAAAAAAATAGAAAATTAAAATTTAATGTTATAAATGAATAACTCTCTCAGTGGGAATGATATTGTTAATATCTTTAATGTGTTATATATATATATATATATATGTATGTATGTATGTATGTATGTATGTATGTATGTATGTATGTATGTATGTATGTATGCATGCATGCATGCATGTAAAATTATTTTTTATTTAATTATTATGCCATTGATTCAACTACCGGTCTAACCTCTTAATAAGAACAATGGCCCATTAATTTTTTTTGGTTCATTGTCCGATTCAGTATTTAAAACATTAGGTTGAGTAGTAAGAAATTTGGGTGGTGCAACATTTTGGAAGAAAACAATTAGTTGACCAAAAACAATTATTGAAAATGACCTAAAAATTTTAAGAAACTTAATTGATATTAAAAATATAATTGATATATAAAAATATAAGTTATTTATAAATTTATGAAAAATTAATTTGAGCTGTTAATATTTAAAAAATAATTTATTAGTTTTGGATTAATATTTATAAATAATAATATTGAAATTCTTAAATAGTAAAATATTTAATATCATAACAATATTTATTAAATTTTATTTTAAAAAAATTTAAGATACTTAGAACTCTTAAAAAAAGAGTTCAACAATAAATTAGTATCAAATAACATTATTAAAGTCCTATTTGTCGCTAAGCATGGGCCTCACTTACATGGTATATTAGCAGAAAACAATAAAGTTAATGAGTGACTAGTGAAAGAAATTTTTTACTAAAAATGATTAAGAAAAAATTATCTCACTTATCAATAAAGAGTGCCCAAAGGCTTCTTGAAAAAAAGCTAAGAAGTAAAAATGAACATTAACTCTTAAAATAATTATTATATAATTTATAGCCTTTTAAATATCAATATTTTCACTACTTAAATACTCGTTTTGAATATACAGTTTCATAAGTAACAAACTTTTTTTTTGTAATATAATTAACAACTCATTTAGTACGTGATAAACATGCATATAATAAAAAATATATCATGAATCATCACTTAATAGCGTTATAAGAATTTTGTTTTGGATATTAAGACAAAAGTTAATAAAATAAGAAATATAAGAAAATATTACAAAGCTAAAACATTACAATACAATACAAGAAAATATTACAAAGCTAAAACATTACCATACAATCAAGAAGAGAAACTAAATACAGCGTTATAAGATTTTAATGAAATGCTATGAATAACAATTCGTAGAACAACAAATCCATATATATACTAAAAAATAACAACTTAGCTCTTAACAGTTATGGGTTAAGGCTTAAAATACAATTTACTGTAAGCATATGAATAATATCGCCTTGATAGCTTAAATGGCTTCCCTCATTTTGCAATGGGATGTACTATTTTCATTTTTGAAATTGATTCAAATTCACATTCCCTCCTTTTTAAATCATTAAATATGCGCTTTGCCTTTTTAATATAGTGTCATCTATATTTTTTCTACTTTCTATTTATTATTAAATATACTTTTTATTAAACATTTTTTCTTCTTTCTTCACCAACATTTCAAGTTGATTATTGAAGCTTCTATTTCCAATGATGAGATCTAAGATATTTAAAATTAATTTTAACAGTGCAGATTTAAAATTTTTAACCTATAATTTTTATTAGAGTGACTGTTATAAATTATCTTTATTTTAAATTATGTACTTATTAAAATAACAATTTATTAAAAATATAAAATTTTATCAATTCTCGACGATCTAAATTGTGATGAGCATTGACACTGGATCTTCTATCTCCCTCATCTTTGAGCAATCGCTGCTAATAATAAAACTTTTGGCAAAAGTCGAGAAAAAAATATTAAATACCTTTTGCTAAAGCTTTGGCAATGCCCTGTTACAGCCACCAAAGGTCAAGACAAATAATTCCCTTGTGTGGCTACATGTCGCTGCTAGCTTTTAGCCGCGACAAGAAATCGAACCAAAAAAAAAAAAAATCCTTTTAACTAATAATTTCATATTTAATTTCCTGTACATATATAGTATAATAGCAACAGACAGGCTCTAACAACCAATAATACAGCAACAAAAATAAGAACCTAGAACAACAATACAAGAATCCACAACAACAATCATCCAGTTCAACAATACAAGAATACATAAGCAATTCAACAATATATATAAGAGAGGAAAAACAATATAACAACTAAATTATTAGGAACTAGCAACGCTACTACATACATCATTGGTTGGAGTTGGATTTGGAGCTGGAGTTTGTGCTCGAGGCTGTCCCTACAGAGAAAAAAACAAATGGATTATAATTTACCTTGTGAATAATTAATTAAACTCTAAACAATAAACTGGGTAATTTCAAATTAATAATTACTGACTGAAATGAAGCCATGATGGCAGCCACTTCATCCTGAATCCTTGGCGAAAAACGCTGTTCCAATTGCTCGCACTTTTGTTGAAGTCTCCTATCAAAATCTGCCTTCATATGCTGTTGTATTTTTTCCATCTCAAAAGATTGAGATTGAGTCCTTTTTTTCATAGGATGCATTCCGTACTTTTTACCTCTAGCATACCCTGACCTTTTACCAAGAACTTGGCTTAAAATCTTGTTTGAGGTCAGATGGCAATCACTATTTGAGTCTTGTTGCAGCACAAGATCCTTGGGTCCAGCCACGATGTTGGAAGTCCCACATGGAACTCCATTGGCATCACATACTTCCACCACAATGTTGGAAGTCCCACATTCCCTCTTCACTCTTCTCTACCCATACATATCCCACACTTTGCAACTATCCAAAAAACCCCTCTTTAAAAGATCAAATCTTATGTCATTTCACGATTTAAACATAAGAGTTCCTACACCCCTTGCAAGGATAACGTATTAAGTCTTTCACTCCATTTTGGCTAAATGCCCATTGCAAGAAACTATCTATTCCTCTTATATACCTGATATTGGCTCTATCCTTAATATCTATCCAACTTTTATCCATTACATTCCCCGCATGCATACAAGATAAAATGGATAAACCAAATAAAAGAACATATAAGAGATTTCCAAGGAGATATTGGTAAAAGCTCTGCGGAAGTCCAGTATGAAAATAGCAGCATCACAAAAGGGTAAGCACCTTAGGAAAGTCTTTTTTATTTTAGGGGGAGGGGGGGGGGAGTTTCTTAACATTATCAATAATTTAGAATCTGTTAAAAATCAAAATTTCTTCCAAGGACTATATACAGTGTACTACTTTTGGAATAGAGATAAAAACAGGTCTCATTTTCACTTCTACGGTATTACAATGTGATCAGAATTTTTAATTTTTAATTCCATAAAGGCTAGCTTAGGTGGTACGGGAGGGATCTAGGCAATGGTACAGGGTTCAAAGCTTCTGAATGTTTTTTTTTTTTTTTTAAAAAAAGGATATACTCTATGGCTCCAAAATCTGCACTGAAGAGTAATATACTAAGAGCAAAGTAAAAATATACAACATACTGCCACTTCTTCCGTAGGAAAATGTTTTGACACCCCACTCATCAGAGCATAATTAATTATGACAGATTCTGTAAGGGGGTATGGCCAGTTGAAATACGACATTAACACAATCATAGGAAAACCTAACACTATTTACATATATGGAATGAAAAGTTTATCCATAAGTACAAATGGACTGTGCAAGGCAAGGAAATTTGAACAAGGAATAAAAATGATCTTCAAGTAACGAGACGTTTGATATTTAAGGACAGAAAGTTGCTTGCAGCAAGACCAAAAAGAAAGTTCATTTTGTATTTGCTGAAACCTCATTTGATTCCATAAGGATTGTTAAATATAATAAATCATCAACACATTTTGCAGGTCAAGAATAGCCCAAATAGAAACCAAAAGAAAAAAAAAAATCAGATTAGTTCTTTAAGCAAACGCATTTAGTCAAATGATCAGAGATCTTAGTTTTCAAAATTCTCACTCCTGCTCATACAAAATCAATAGGGTGAGCAAGAAGACAGTATTACGTCAAGAACATTATGGAAACACTTCAGCCAACGTCCTAAGTGATGACAATAGTCATTTTGACCATTTCCACCAAAATTAAGATAAGAATTTGCATCTGATTTTCCTCAGATAGTTCAAGTTACGCAGATAAGACATGATATTTCTAAATTAGAATTGTACTTGAACCTCACTGCTGTTAATTATATTACTATTAATGGGACCAGAATAATCATACCATATTGACAGCTCATAACTACCAGCTCCTTTCTCTCCTCTTAAACCACAAAATGATACTCAAGTAGCTCAACCCAATAACTGAACGATCCACCCCGTTTGACTACCCTTACCATCAATCAACTAAAACTTTTATCGAAAAAATAATTAAAATCAATAACAAGGGATAATAATGACCAACTAATTTTACAAAAAACTTAGCACCTTTCCAAAATTCCAATCACATAGTATTTGTTTCTGCATAAAAGAAGAAAATTTATAAGAGGAAATTACTCAAAGTAGTACAGAAAGAGAACATGGAGATGAGAATAATGCATTAAAAATTATACCTGTGGAAGGATAAAAATTACAGTAAATACAGAAATATATCAAGATAACAAAGCTAAAGAGAAAAATAAATACAATCTAAAGGATTGTTGGTACCAAAATAACTCAAATCTTTTGCTCTTCAAGCCTAGACAACTCGTGCTTCTCTTTTGCTCCTATCATCATTATCAACCTTATTCAACTTTCCCGAATAAAAAATCACTCAAATCTTTTCCACGGCCCAATTTCAGAACAGAGTACGCTCACTGAAATGGAGCTACTTAGTGGAGAAGAATTGAAAGCCAAATCTTTTTTAATATACCAAGTGCATTACCTTTCAGCCATAAAATATTACAAGGGATTGGAAAGGGACAGACCAGAAACGAGCAACAATGAGGGATTTCGTTTGGGGTATTATTAAAATGGTTTAACTGACCAGAAAAATGGTGGTCCAGTTCTAAAATACAGCAGCAGGGTAAAATACATACAGCGGAGACTTTAAATATGCGAAGCCTTGAACTAACAAGCTCGAGCTCTAGAGTGAATAACAGTACATTGACCAAGAAAAATCAAGCTAATTCTAACTGTCAAGCAAAGCATTAAACACAGACCTAAATAGGAAAGCAAGCCGTGAAAGTGAGCGCGCAAGTCCTGAACTGGGTCGACGGAGATTTATATCTCAGAGATTATTTTGCTTCTTCTCCACTCGAAGTCGCGTATCAATTACAGGGTTGGTCCGATTTTGCCTGCTGGTCCATCAATTTCTACCCTCAGAAATATCGAAGTCGCGTATCAATTCCTATTAATTGAACAAGAGAGGGACGGAGGGAGCGGTGAGGAAGGGGAATGCCTCAATGGAGGGAAGCAATTTTTAAGTTTTTAAAGATTTATAAATAAAATAATTATTTATTTGCCACCAATATATATATATATATATATATAGTTCAGCTTTAGCGTCCTTTTAGTGTAAAATGAAGGCAACTATTTATATTTAAAAAAGTATAAAAATATTAAAAGTAATATATATTTTATTAATTATTAGTTAGTATTTTATGTATCTATACAACTAACTTAAAATTAAAAAGTATTGTTTATATTAGCAATTAATAGGCTAAAGTAAAGTAAATATTTAAGGAAAAATGACAAAAAAAATTCCTTTAAATTATATAAATGATGACTTTGTCCCACAAAATGGCATAATTTTCTTGGAGTCCCATAAATTTTTTTTGTCATTATGAAATTAAAAAAAATAACCAAATTACCGTCAAATAAAACAAAAATTTTTAGAATTGTAAATGACTATTGAATTGTTGTAACTTTAGAAACAAAAATTGTTAATATAGGAACAAAAGTTGTGAATGAAAAGTTATGAATTTTCAACACTTGATGTATATCAAAACTTGTATATGCGGAGTTGCGAATAACTATTAAATTATTGTGAATTTAGAAATAAAAGTTGTTAATATAGGAATAAAAGTTACAAATAAAAAGTTGTAAATTTTTAACATCTAATGTATATCAAGACTTGCAGATACAAAGTTGCGAATGACTATTGAATTATTGCAAATTTAAAAAAAAAATTGTTAATATAAAAACAAAAGTTGTGAATTTTGTTAATATGAATAAAGGGCAAAAATATTATTTTCTATAATTTTCTAATGACATAAACATCGCTTAAGACTCCAAAAAAATCATACCATTTTGTGGGGCCAATATGTCATTTACATAATTTAAATAGATTTTTTTCTCATTTTTCCATTATTTAATCCTTTAAATTTATATAAAATTTCATTTTAATCCTTTAATTTTATAAATTTTTTTAAAGTTGTTTAACCCTAATATGGTTAATATTATCAATAAAAAATTCATATATTAAAATTTTAAATATTGATAAAATATTTTTAAATGTCGATATATTAAGTTTAATTTTTTTTAAAAAATAACAATGATTAGGTCAAAAAATAATAATGTAAAACTAACGGTATTATGGTCAGAGAACTAAAAAAATATTTTATAAAAATAAAAAATTAAATTAAAAATTTATATAAAATTAGAAGTTTAAATATATGGTATCAATCGGTCCTCTCTTTCCTTTTGGTGGTATAGCCGCATGTGTAGATTACCCTTATTCTTCATCTTCTCTACCCTTCGGTTGCTTAGGGCGCCCTGAGGGATTCGCCTCTAAGGGAATAGTTATTGATCACATAGCTTGGGTACTAGAAGTTGCTGATCATATCATTCGGGCAGAACCTGGGTCCCTTAGTATTATGTATAGCGCAGCTCCCTCAAAGTTTCTTTTGCTAGTTTTGTTCCGATCGATGAAGGAAACTCGGTAGCGCGCGGATTCGTTTTCCTATTTCACTGGGATCGGTCCTAAGGCGCGTGCTTCAATATTGTCTTGATTGGCAGTCGCTCTTCTGTATTTTGAATCTTCAGAGAGACCCTTAGAGTTCTGTCCTGAATGGGAGGGTTGTTGAGTCAAGTCAAGAAGAAGAAAAAGAAAGTCCCACAAAGGAATCTTGGACAATGGGCACAAGTCTTTATTAAAGAATTAGTATCTCCATTATAATTAGCATTTCTATCAGCTCTGCTCTTTTGTCTCCTGAATATCATCTCGAGACCCAAACAACGAGATCCGGATTGGAACTAACGCATATTGATTCAAAGCTTATGGCCCTTCAATACAACCCCCCTGTGTATAAAACCGTAAGTGAGTGGTGCGAGTCTACAAAGAAGACTTTCCATCTTCCTTCTTTGGCGCTGCTGGAGATGCCCCACAAGGCCTTCTTTCTCAAGATTGAATTATTCGCAGTGAACAAAGCAACATTTATTAATCCATTTTAGTAGGTGGCGGTGTACACTAGGTATCAACAAAGGATGCTTTCTCTCACCCAGCCCTTTGGAGGTGTTAACTCTTCGCCTTCGGCTTTCTATTGAATGATCCATCTGGTGTGCTATTTATACTCCATCAGTGAGGGCTTCTCCCTTTTCAATCTACATGGCATACGTACACGAATGAATATTCAAACTCATCGACTCGGCTCAAAGCATATGATCAAAGCTCTAGTGGTGCACATAGCAATATCAGAATAGAATTCTCGTCGGCCTGACCGGCAGTAATAGCGAACTAACACTGTTCTAATAGAAAGGGGGAGTCCCTCTTTGTGGTAGATAACAAAACCGAACACAAAATGAAGCTTTCAGTCTTGCAAAGCATCTGGGCGAGCCCCTCCCCCCAGAAACAGCCAGCGAATTGATAACTGAACAAGAGGAAGTAGAGCGTCTCATGACTCTATATGCTGTACCACATACTAAGACCTAAAGCCGTTCTTAATAGAAGTCCCCAGGAGCTGGTTCCTTGAAAACTCTTCCCTTGACTTCTATACGAACTAGTCAATATTTCACTTCTTTTTCTTCGCCTCTATCAATTCCTTCGTCGAGAAAGAAAGCAATAAACGCTCGGGTGGAAGAGGAATTTAGTACCAAAAGCAAGCCGGTTCAGCCCCCCTACTAAGCATACATTTATTAACAGATCCGATAACAGCGATTCTCCGTCTCTGACCAGGAGGTATCACATCTACAGATATTAGCCCCAAATGCTAGCTCGCATTATTCATAGTAAGTCGCTACATCATGCTTTTAAGGAAGCTATTCGGGCTTAGCCCGCCTCCTATTTATCAATTCTTTCCGTTTGATGGGCGTGCTCTTGTTTCTAGGTTTGGATGTTCTTTAAGGGTCTACTAGATTACGTCAATACATGAATCTCATCTTTCCAATCTCTTTATTCTTTACCCGCTCATTCCTCTGACTTTATGCCTTCTATTCGGCTCCTACCCTACCAAGTCCGACCGGGGGTTAACCTTTCGTTATCAACTGCTTTCTTACTTCAAAATGTTGTATCATGGGCTTGACTTTGACATCGCTCCTGCAACAGCAATTATGATAGGCATTTCACCACCTGAAGGAAAGAAGAAAGGCCGGCTTCCCTATTATACGAGGATTGATTCCCAGACACGCCTGGAACTACTAGACGAAAGACTAAGAAGAAAGCAAAGTCAACCTAAATTTAAGGCTTCGGGGCTGAGTTACACCTCTCTCTCTTCTCTCTCCCTGGAACTGATAAGAAGGAAATCAATTCAACAATTCTATGAGCAGTGGTATGGCAAAGAGTCGGAATAGGACGTAGCACTAGGCTAAGGCAAGCACAGAAGGGAAGCAAGAAACTGAACTCAATGCTGGGGCGGATTCAGAAACCAGGCTGCCTCTGCCGTCAACCTTGGCATCACCCTCTTCACCGGCTTCTTTTGGGGACTCTCTTCACATCAATGCATCTTCAGAGAATGAGGAATCTCTTTCTGCGGAGTCGGGGAATTCCCCCCGGGACTCCGATCACGAGAAGAACGAAAGCGTCCAGTGATTCTCCACATGATGTCTAGAAAACGCTTTCGTCGCCCCTATACCTTTGGTCGGTTGAGGAAGTAACCCCTTTCGAAGGTAGGAAAGAAATCATTCTCTTAACCCGATCTTGCGGTAAGCGGATTCCCTGGGTCGACTTCTTCTTGCAACTGATCCAGCATCTGATCTAGCGATCCCTGTTTGTTGAAACTATTCTAGCTGCTGTGCTACGGTTACCCGACAACCCTCAATTTGAGCTTCAAAATACGCTGTTTTGTGAAAAGTATCCATTTCTATGTCCCTCTTAGAGCTAAAATCTCAAGTAAGCCAAAAACACGGGGTTTCTTAAACTTTGGAGATGGAAATAGATAGGACACATTGCGACTGAAGGCGTTAGGTGGAGCTAAGGTTTTGAAAGGAATGATATGCCAGTAGTCTTGCCCTCGGGGTATTGCCCGTTCTCTCCTCCTCCCCCTATCTAAGAGCATTTGCATTCTCAGAATATTTCCTTGTCTCATCCTTATTTCAGTAAAATTCTGAAAGTGAGAGTTCTTTCATCTAATCGGTGAACGTACTCTTCCGTCCTTTCCCTCAACTAAGCCTATCAACTCTATTCAATCAGTTAACACTGTAGCTCCATGCTGTCGCCCAATCAGTTGACACTTCATTTCATGCTGAACCTTTCAGTCATACCTACCTTCTTTCTATTCTCATCCCGATCAGACCTCGAACTTCCCCTTCATTTTAACAAAGAAGCAAAGAAAGCTTGACTTAGGGGCCTTTTTTGATTAGTAGGGGGAAAAAGTGAAGTGCCTAGTCTAACAAATATCTCTTTTGTATTGGCCCTCTACTTTCGATACCGAAAAAGCAAGCCGAGCAGAGAAGGTAGCTAGTGAAGTACTGGGCACGGTAGTTAGCGGCTTTGGTTTCGTCGTAGAATCTACTCTTTCAAGCACCGAAGTCAAATCGCTTTGTCTTGCTCGTTTGTTTCTTCTCGCATGACTGCTTGGAATGGAGCTACAGGGCTGAGGGGAGCTATAGACGGTGTAACCGATCAATTGAACGAAAGCTTTGACTAGGCATGAAGGGGGAAGCGAGCAAACTCCCCTTTCATTATAGACCCAAAAGAAGCAAGCGTAGCGGACAGTTGCTTGCGATCCGAGAATGACTTATAAAGAAAGTTGAGAGGAACCAGATCAGATTGTTAGACCGAAGCCACCAGGCATTGACGGAATGATGGCCGGGATGTTTCCAATGCGTTCTACACGGGCCTTTCTTCCCAAGAAGTCTCAACAAAAGAGACAAGATTCCCTCTCAAAGAGAAGTATGCTTGAAGTTTGATTCTCTGAAAAGGCTTTTTGTGGCTGCCTCAAATCTATAACAAAAAGGGAAGAGGCATGACTAGTTGGGATTGTCAGTGAACGGCTCGCGCAGGTA